GGGGCAAAGGTGAGGAACAGAGAGCAGGTTGTAATAAAAGTCTGTTAGAAGCACAGTAGCACCATTTCTGCTATAAGGTCATACAATCTCCACCCCATACTTCCTTCCCTACAGCCTTTTGAGGTTGGAACCCTATACAGATAACCTTTTCTAACATCCTGGGTTCCTTATCTCCTCTGATTATCCGCACATAACAACATTTATTGTGTGGGGATTTTTATCCTCCATTTACAGATGTGAAAGCCAAGAGTCAGACATGTAAACTGATCTGCTAAGGTTATGGGCAGGAGCTCTGGTAGCATAGTGCCTAAGGCACTTGACTGCTAACCAGAAGGCTGGCGGTTCAAATCCACCAGCCACTCCTCAGAAGGAAGTTGGGCAATCTACTTCTGTAGTGATACCTCCTCGGAAACCCAAGGAGGGGTAGCTATGAATTGAGTCTGACTTGACAGCACATAACAACAACCACAAGGTTATGGACAACTTAGTAAGAGAATGGGTTCTGGTGTCTGGGTACCCATAGGCGTGAAGAAGGGCTGTGATGCTATCAGAAATTATTAGGGGATCTGATGGCACAGTGCCTAAGGCATTTGCCTGCTAACCAGAATGTTGGTGGTTCAAACCCACCAGCTGGTAAAGATTTATTGCCTTGGAAACCCAGTGGAGGTCACTATGAGTTGCAATCAGCTTGATGGCAGTGGGTTTGGTTTATTTTTTGACTTGACCTAAGCTCCAGGAAGCTTGCCTGTACCGCAGTGTCAAAGCCCAGGTGCCTGGTCTGTGAGGCCAGGGGTGTCACACACAGTCGCAACAGACATTGGGAAAGCCCTAGGGATCCCTTTTATGCTTTCTCTGTATGGTCAGTATGCAAGCCTGTGGCTCCCTACCCAGGCTCCTCCATGAACTTGGGAGTTCTGTCCTTACCCTGAGAGGTATCCCAAAGGCAGACCTGAGACCGCTGCAGTCTTTGACACCAACTCAAGACACAGTATCCTGGGAATGGGGGTGGCTCACAGGTGCAGAGACAGGTACCTTGGGAATTAACTGCTCCCTGGAGCATGGACGCTGGTTAAAATAGACCACACCTCCTGGAGCAAAGGCGGTGGCTTCATAGCCCTGTGGAAGCTGAAGATAACTTGGGTAAGAGCAGAGGAAACACAGCTCCCTTCACCAATTCCTCTTGCCCACTGGAAGTTCATGATACTTCTAAGATGAAGTAGAAACTGGTGGTATTAGGTACTAAGTAAACTGGGAGGAATGGACCAGGAAAGGGCTGGCCTACAGAAGTGGTCAGGTGATCAGCAGGTCCCAGGAGATGGGGGGGGGGGAGTTTGGAATGGCTAAGAGGAGAGGCTCCTTTGGGCAGGGAACAGGGAAGTATTCCTGCGGGGGCTGAGACCCTTCAGTAGGGAGCATCAGAGAGGACACAGTGTATAAGCTTGAGGGTCTGGGCCCAGACTTTAACTCCTAAAGAGTCCAGAGTTGTTTTGGCCTTCTTCCTGGAGAAGGAGTAGGGGTGGGAGACTTTTAAATAATAAACCTATAAAGAGTACATGAAATTATCAGTTTCATTGGAAACAACAGTTGGTACCCTACCTGTGTTCGTTTTCACTGAGACCCACTGCTGTCAGGCTACACATGACCCTACTTGAGTTACTCTATCCATGATTGTAAAATCTCTCAAAATTGGCCCACGTGTCCACATCTGTGCCTATGGCTGGTGGTATTGCAGTTTGTGCAAGATGTTGATGGCTGCTGGGTAGTGAGTAGGACTAGGTTGGGGTGGAGTACTCCTCAAGGCTCTAGGGGTCTCCCTTCTCCACCATGGCCTTTGTATTTCTCTTGGTCTTGAGGGTTTGAGCTCCTGGCCTTTTTGACTCACTGTCACTTGCTGTTGGCATCTCTTTTTTTCCAAGCTACTGGCTCTCTGTGAGTTTGGTTGCCACAGTAACCTCCAGTGGTACAGATAGACAGGCTTGAATGCAGGCAGTCCTGTGAGGGTAAGGATGGAGGGTCCAGGGCTCAGGTACCTGCTCCAGGGCTCTCTTCCCTGGCCAGCTTTACTGGGTATGCATGAAGGCCTTTGGGGTGCACATGCTACTGAAACATTGCCTAGATGGGGCAGAGATGGACTCCTGCTCTGGGATCAGCTGCTAGAGGAAGGGAGCTAAGTCGAGCCTGGAGCTGGCTGTCCATCCTTCCCTTGAATCTAAGGCTGGTCTTTGGAGACCAGTGAGGAGCAATCTTGGAGCTCCCGCTTTCTGTGGTGGCTCTTACACCCCCTGTGGATGGAAGTTGGATGGCCAAACTGGGGGGTATCTGAGAACAAGCCAGATTGATTATGGGCCTGCTTCTGGCAGAGGCCAGTGGAGGTTGCTTAGAGTGACTGGGAGGACTTGCTGGACCCAGCTCTGCTGTCAGCCTGGAGCAGCCTCTCTCCTGCTTTCATTCACAGCCTCCTCCTCTCCTGTTTTATAATTGAGATCAGAGTCTTAGCTATACAGGTGACCACCCATTTTTAAAACATATAAAACCTGATAATATGGGAAAACTCAGGAACAGAATTGTTGATTTGCCTTTCCAAAAGGTTGGCTGTAGGATTGTTTGACACTGGGCAGATCCCCAAGTGTGGTGCAATGGGAGTCACACCCAGGCTTCCTAGGTATCACTGTCAAGGGCTGACCCTCAAAGGGACCATGTTTCCTTGGACATTTACATTAGGTAGATACACACCTTTGACAGATCAATCATGGGAGGATAGAAGGGCAGTTGTATACACAAGGATATAGCTTGGGGGTCAGGAGTTCATGGGAAGAAGGGACACAGGGAAAAAAGTAACTATGGGGAGGAAGCTGTTACACTGTGGGAAATAACAGTCAATGTCTTGAGACAAAATATGTATGAACTACTGTATGGAAAATGAATTTGCTGTGTAAACTTTCACCCAAATCACAGTAAATATTAAAAAAAAAAAAAGGGACCATGTTTCCTTGGAAGCTCAGAAGGGTCAGTTTTCCCGGGAGCAGGGAAGGTTGCGGGGTCCTGCTCCTTCATCTTCTCACTGCTTATCCTTAGAATGTGAGGTCTTCACATAACAAGAGCAGAAGCACAGCTTTGAAGCAAAGGATTCCAGTTCTAAGGTTTCAGTGTTAGAAGAGCAGTTGCAGTGGTTTGCCGGCTGTGTGGAATTCATTCATTCAGTAAACCTCCAAGGGTATACGAACCCAACAGAGAACAAGTCAAACGCTGCCCTTCCCTCACAAAGTTAATGATCTACGACTCCCCTCAGGGGTCAAGGAACTTGTTCAGGAGAACTGCTGTTTGGAATCATAGGGCTGCCTGGCCTAGACCCTGGGCTGGCTTCTGTACCAGCAGGGATTGGGTGCTCTCGCTGCCAGGAGCTCAGTTCCCAGCAGCACTCATCTGGGTGTGTGCCAAGCCAGTTATGGGAGGTGCTAGTTAGTATTGGACAATCACCAGGTGGAACTTAACCATCCCCAATGCCCTTCAGGTTCCTAAGCCTACAGTTGGTTACTTCCTGATGGCCCTGCAAGAAAAGTAGGACTTGGTCCTAGGCTCACTGGGCCTTTGATCAGCACCTAGGCTGTGGCATGGACACCCCAGGAAGATCTCCACCTTTTTCTATTGCCTTCCAGTTTGGTGAGGGAAGGGGCAAGTTGGGAAATAGCCTGGTCTCTCCAGTTTAGTGGGAGCTCTGGTGGCATAGTGCCTAAGGCATTTGACTGCTAATCAGAAGGCTCCTGGTTCAAACCACCAGCCTCTCCTTGGAGGGAAGACTAGGCAATCTACTTCTGTAGCAACACTGCTTCGGAAACCCAAGGAGGGATCTCTATGAGTCGGATCTGACTTGACAGCAATGAGTACTCCAGTTTACTTACATCCTCTCCTGAGAAGCAAAGGATGACTGCCATGTGGTCTTCTCGATTCCATTAACCAGTGATGACCAAGGGTCTGGGATAGGGTGCATAAAAGAGAGAGATGCTGCAAACCTAGACCTGGGAACTCTGGTTGGAGTGGTCAAGAGAAGGTATTGGCATAAAGGTAGCTCTTCTTTTAGGACTTAATCACTTTTCTGTACTCTTTTGGCTGGGTGAGCTCTGATAAGGCTTATTTTGCCGTCTCCAAGTCCCAAATTACTATCTCACCTAAACTCTTAGTACCTGCAGGGCCTTCCCTGTCTAGTATTTAGTAGACCGCCTGCCTGCCAGCCTCCCAGGGGTCCTATGATCATTTCACAATTTCACCCTGTGGCCAGGGTGGTCCTGACTGTGGCTTTTGCTCTTGCTTCTGTGCTGAGATAGCTTTTCTCCAGATCTTCCTATGGCTGGATCCTGCGCAGGCCTCGAGGTCAGCTTGAATATCATCCCCTAAAGTTGGCTCTCTTACTTTCCATCATAGGAACCACACACTGCGATGGTTGTGTGTAACCCTGCCGCCCAGTAAGCAAAGAGGGCAGTAAGCGTGTGTTGCAAGAATAAATGAAAGATCTTAATGACCGGGTGAGAGGCATTAACCAGCACCCTGCGTCACACGTAGACCATTCATTTCTTCATTCGGCGGCCCAACCGAGAGACAACTGCCAGAGACCTACGCCGCCGCGACCCTTGGCTGCCCCAAAGGATGGCAGCCCAGCAGCGCACGCGCACTGCGGGCCGGGGCTCGGCGGGGACGCGCACGCCCGCGGCCGCGTGCGTCACAACCCAGGCGCCTGCCCCACCCGCCCGCCCGTCGATCTCAGAGGCGGCGGTTGAGGTCCAGTGACAGCGGCGGTGGCGGTTCCAGGCCCGCGGAGATAGCGCAGAGTCGCGCGGCCCGGAAACTCACACCCGGCCGAAGCGCCGCGCGGTGCAAGAAGCGCCGGACCGGGGTCCCGCGTGAGGAGACCGTGCGGCCGCCGGGTGAGAGGCCGGCGTCAGGGAGTGCGGGAGGTAGTGGCCGCCGGCGGCCCAGACTCGCCCGTCTCCGCGGCCACCGCCGGCATGAGCCACATTCAGATCCCATCAGGGCTCACGGAGCTGCTGCAGGGCTATACGGTGGAGGTGCTGCGGCAGCAGCCGTCCGACCTTGTCGACTTCGCGGTAGACTACTTCACCCGCCTGCGTGAGGCCCGCCGCCTGGCCGCCGTCCCGCTCGCCGCCGCCCCTACTCGCGTTTCCTACGGGCCAGAACCCAGCCCCGAACCCGAGCCCGTCGCCGACGCGGAAGATGAATCAGAGGACGAAGAGGACTTAGAAGGTAGGCGGCGGGCGGGGCTGGGGTTCGCTGGTCGTCTAGGTTTGCGGTAGGGGGATGGTGGCGAGGGGCCGTGTAGGGGGTCGCTAGAGGGCCGAGGACAGCAGGGGGTTGGGCATTGCGTCCAGGGCCGAGCCGACAGTCTGGGCCGGGACCTGGTCGGTCTGGAGCGGAGTTTCTTGGCGTTTCCCGGAGCCGCCAGCGTAAATCCCGCGTGCGCCACTTCCAAATCGAGCTCCGCGGTCCACAGAATCGTGGAGCGCACGGAGTGATTTGTCAGATTCAGCCGTAAAGGAAAGGTGCGCGCTTTTAACCGGGTGGTGGCGTGGGGCCGGAGAGGCGCGGAACCCACGTCCGCCTCGCAGTAGGATCCTTCGTCTTTTCTTAGGGCCCTTCTCGTTTTGTTCTGGAAACAAGAGCATTAACATCCAATGACTCGTATTTAATTTTCTGGACGATAAACTTGTTTGATTATAATTCATTTTTTAAATAAAAAGTTACTATGAAAAACTTGAAGTATAGAGCAAAGTAGAGAAGGTGAAATAAACTTCTATGTACCTATCACTCAGATTCAACAGTTGTCATTATTTTATCACAAATGTTTCATCTATAGCCTTTTTATCTCCTTTGCTGAAATTAAAAAAAAAATTTTTTTCAAATTGTGATTTGGGTGAAAGTTTACAGAGCAAATTCACTTTCTGTACAGCAGCTCACAGTACACATTGTCTCACGACATTGACTACAATTTACCATAAAGCAACAGTTCCCCTCCCACTTGCTCCAGATAGTTGGCTCTTCCCTATGTCCATTCCTCCATGCACTACTGCCCCTGAACTGTCTGCCTGTACGTAAACACCCTTTCTTTCTCCCGTGATTGTTCTCTACAAGGAGTGTATCTACCTAGTGTAAATGTTCACCTCATACACCTGTCTTTTGTTTGGCTGGAAGCCACAGGTGTAGGTTCAATTCCAGACCTGAAGGGCAGCTAGGGGCCATAGTCTCTGTGGTTCCACCAGGCCCTATCAGACTAGCAAACTTGGTACCCCCCCCCCCTTTTTTTTTTTTTTCCAAATGATTCTGAGTTTTGTTATACATTGTTCTCCCTCTCTATCCAGGATCTCCTACATAGATCCCCCTCTGAGTGGTTGACAGTGGTAGCCAGGCACCATCTAGTTCTTCTGGTCTCATAGTTGCATAGGCTGAGGCTTGCATGGTGTACCAGTTGCTTGGACTACTTGTTTCCATGAATCTTTGGTTTTCTTCATTTTTCTTTGCTCTGTCTTTTGCTGGGATATTTTAAAGCAAATTCCAGACAAGTCATTTCACTCCTGCGTTCTTGAAAATTTATTTTTTAAAATGTAGGTCCTGGGAATGTTTTTTTTTCTTTCTTTCTTTTTTAAATTTAGTTAGAGCAGTTGAATGAAATTTTATGTGAGTGAACAGTAAAAAAAATCTCATTTTTTGCTTTTAAAAAATTGACATTTTCTGGAGCTTTGGAGGCATAGTGCCTAAGGCATTGGACTGCTAACCAGGAGGCTGCTGATTCAAACCCACCAGCCTCTCCTCAGAAGGTATACTGAGCAATCTACTTCTGTAGTGATACTGCCTTGGAAACTCAAGGGTCTTTATGAGTCAGATCTGGCAGTGAGGTTGTTTTTTTGGCTTGGTTGCCCTTATATAATTTTTTTTTTTTTTTTGGAAAAATAACAAGCAGTAAGAATTTTGATTCATGTGTGGGTTGCAGGAAAGGAGAAAAGTAACATTTTCTACATCTGATTTAAGCAAGGCTGTCAAGAAACAATTTCATTTTCCTTGGTTTCTTCGATACAGGCTTTATCTGTTTGATAGAATAGAATAAAATTTTAATTTTGAATAGCTAAAATTTAGTATAACAGTGAAAACACTTCAGAAACAAAGTTAAACACTTAAAACTGAAAAGTTCAAAGTTGGTTAGACCTGGCCCCACATTCCAGCTACTTACTGTCAAGCAAGGAGTTGATTGCTATGGGAGGTTGTAAGTAAGCATCAGGACAAGGTCCCAAACTTCATGCCAACAGAATAGAAATTACTCTTTTGTGTTTCCCTTGAGTTATTGCATATTACATTACAGATTTTTCATCAAAAAACTGGAAATCAAGAATTGTTTTCCAATTCTACACTGATTTGCTTAGTGGTCTTGGACAAATTGTAAAACATGTTTCATTTCAAATGTACTTATCTTTAAAATGGAAACAGTGAAAACAATCTCCCAGGGATAAATGTATTGTGTTTAAGAGCTTTGTTTTAGGAGTGACTCCTGCTTTTTTTCAATCATTCTCTAAATCACAGTGCTATAACCTGTTTTGCCATAATTTTGATTACACAAAACATTAGATGAATATTTTAAAAACTACCCCTTATGAGTAAAACAGTCTCACATTTTTTGTTTTATGTCTTATTTTTTGTCATCTTTGATATATTTTTCTAAATTGAGTTGACTTAACATGGGCTTTAGTCATCTTTACTAAACCTGTTTTGTAACATGTTCAATAGAAAGTTGAACTCTTAAAAAAAATGAGTTAAGATCTTTGTAACACTATTGCTATTTAAATTTTTATTTTTGTCTCTTAAATGGCTGTATTATGTATAGTTCTGGAAATAATACAAGGTGGAATTATATTTACAAATAATAGATTAAACATACATTAGACATTAGTAGACTAATAAGCCCTACTACCTAAAATTACATTGGCTATACCTGCCTTATTTATAGAACTGTACATAGCAAGGAGGTTTTGCTTAGAAAGGTCCTGTATGTGGGATGACTAACAAGCATTTTCTTTCCTTTTTTTTTTTTTTTTTTTGTTAAATTGTGATTTGAGTGAAAGTTTACAGAGCAAATTCATTTTCCATACAGCAGTTCATACACATTTTGTTTCATGATGTTGACAGCGATTCACCACAATGTAGCAGCTTTCTTCCCACTTCCTCCCCATAGTTACGTCTTCCCTGTACCCTTCCTTTCCATGCACTCCCATCCCCCTGAGCTGTCTCTCTGTGGAAACCCTGCCCTTCTGTTCTCCCATGATTGATCACTCCAAGGAGTGTATCTACCTGGTGTAAATGTTCACACCATATGCCTGTCTGTTGTTTGGCTGGAAGCCACAGAAGTGATTTCAATTCTAGACCTGAAGGATGACTGGGGACCATAGTCTCAGGGGTTTTACCAGGGTCTATCAGACCAGAAACCTGGTCTTATTTTTTATGATTTTGAACTAACCACCATTTTCATTTATAAAATTGTGTGCTAAATGGGAAATGAGCAATAACTTATTAGTTGTTATTAGTTTCAGTTGTTGTTGTTATGTGACATTGAGTTGTCTCAGACTCATGTTGTTGTTGTTGTTATGTGCCCTCAAGTTGGACCTCACTCATAGCAACCCCTTCTTGGGTTTCTGGGGCAGTATCACTACAGAAGTAGATTGCCCCATCTTCCTTCCGAGGACTGGCTGATGGGTTTGAACCGCCGCCTTCTGGTTAGCAGTCAAGTGCCTTAGGCACTATGCTACCAGAGCTCCCTCTCAGATTCATAGCGACCTTATGTACAACAGAATGAAACACTGCCCTGTCTTGTGCCAGCCTCATGATCCCTACTATAACTGAACCCATCACTGTAGCCATCGTGGCATCCATCTTGTTGAGGGCCTTCCCCCTTTTGTTCATCCTCCACTTCACCAAGCATGACATCCTTCTCCCCAGAATGGTCCCTTCTGACAGCATGACCAAAGTAGGTGAGAAGACATCTGGCCATTCTCGCTTCCAAGGAGCATTCCAGCTGCACTTCTTCCAGGACAGATTTGATAGTTCTTTTAGCAGTCCACAGTACTTTCAACATTCTTCACCAACACCACAACTCAAAAGCATCAACTTTTCGGTCTTCCTTATTCATTATCCAGCTCTCATATGCATAGGAGGGGATTGAAAATACCATGCCTTGGGTTAGGCACATCTTAGTCTTCAAGAGGATATCTTGGTTCTTCAGTGTTTGAAAGAGATCTTTTGCAACAGATTTGCCCAATGCAATACATCTTTTGATATCTTGACTGCTGGTCCATTGGTGGTGATTGTACAATCAAGTCTTATGAAGTCTTTGACAACTTAAGTCCTTTTTCTATCTCTCATGGTGCTGCTTATTGGTCCAGTGTGAGAATTTTTGTTTTCTTCATAGTGAGGTAGTATGGGTTACGTACTACAGACTGCAGTCTTTAATCTTCATCAGTAAGTGCTCCAAGTCATCCTCACTTTCAGCAAGCAAGCAAAGTTGTGTCATCTGAATATCTCAGATTGTTAATGAGCTTTCCTCCAATCCTAATACCACATTCTTTTCACATAGTTCAGTTTCTCAGGTTATTTGCTCAGCATACAGATTGAATAAGTATGGAGAAAGGATGCAACCCTGACACACTCCCTTCCTTATTTTAAGTCATGCAGTATCCCCTTGTTAGAACAGTAGCCTCCTGGTTTATGTACAGGTTCCTCATGAGCACAATTAAGTGTTCTGGAATTCCCATTCTTCTCAATGTTATCCACAATTTGTTATGATTCATACAGTCGAATGCTTTTGCATAGTCAATAAAACACAAGTAAACATCTTTCTGGTATTCTTTGCTTTGAGCTAAGATTCATCTGACATCAGCTGTTATAGCCCTTGCTCCACATCCCCTTCTGAATCCAGCTTGCAGTTCTGCAAGTTCTCTGTCAATATACTGCTGTGCAACCATTTTTGAATTATTTTCGGTAAGATTTTACTTACGTGTGATATCAATGATATCATTCGATAATTTCCACATTCTGTGGGGTCACGTTTATTTGGAATGGGTACACATGTGGATCTCTTCCTGTCAGTTGGCCAGGTAGCTGTCTTCCATATCTCTTAGTTTCAGTAACAGCTTTGATGTCAAAGAGCACATGAAAGTATGATGTATTAAAATGAATATTTAACTCTTGGAAAAGCCTGAAGAATT